TTTCTATTATTACTGAAGAATGCGTTCTGCATATTTCAACATTTGCATGAGGAAAGGGTAGAGAAGGCAATAGAGTCCACCTTAATCTCACTGTCCAGCGATAGCCACTGTATACACTTTCACGTATTTGATTCTTTTATCTAAGCAAATATCAACTCTATCCGTAAAGCTTGTTTTGTGACCTGTGTTTTAATTTAGCAATTTGTTCCTTTTCCTATATCACTAAATAGATTTTGAAAATGTAACTTTATTCACCTTAATAGATATTCTGTACTTTCCTAATGTTGGATAGCAAAACGATTTCTTTCCTCCCAGGGGTAAGGTGGAATGGGGTGGGGTTGCTGTGGCCCTTCTGCTCAGCCTCCAGGTTTTGGGAGGTTAAGAGAAAATAAAATAAAACCCCCAAAAGGCTCCTTCTGTCTTCCATGAGCAAAAGCAATGCATTTGCAATGCTACAGTACTAAGGAAACTCAAGGTCCTCTGGTGTGTGACAGCTACTACAGTGGTGGTGCGCGACGGGAGCCGCGGGAGCTGTGGTGGCACGAGACGGAGCAAGACTGCTGCAAATCCACCTTCTCCATCGTCACTCATCACCTGCTGTACAAGACACAAGTAGAGCTCAAAAGAGTTTATAAACAGAAGTGGAAATTAAAACCATAGTGTGCACAAAGGTCCCCGCCGTGGTGAGATGGACCCACGCGTGGCACTGCGAGGGCGCTGAAAGGCTCAGGTGCTGTTACTCGGGCACCACGTGTCGGGATCAGGTGTGCTGTCCACCTCAGCTGAAGCCTGCCCAGGCGACCCGGGGACAAAGTGCGCTGCAGAAACAAAAACACATGGTGGTAGTGTGACAGGAAAGAGGATGGCGGACAGAGTGCGAGGGCTTGCCATTCTGCCTGTGCCACACGGACGAGTTCTCAGTTCTAGGCGCCGATCTCCCTGCAGATACAGACGTGGTGCCTCCTGAGGGAGCACCGTGTGGGCTGACAAATTCAGGACAGGAAAACCACGTGGCCACCTCAAGCCAGCCAAGAGCTGGGGCCAACCCCAAGTACCACCCACGCCAGTCCAGTGTGGGGCAAGCCATGCCTGCCCCAAAGTGCACCCAGCGCTTCCCCTCCCCAACAGACACCACCACAATTTCCATTTTGCCATTAAATACGCTGCAGCAGGGGGCTGGGGAATGAGTTCATGAGTTCAGTGGCAGAATGCCTGCCTAGCCTGCACCAGGCCCTGGTTCAACCCTCAGCACTGGAAAAAGGGAAAAAATTATAGTAACAAATTTGCAGTAATTATACCAAATCTCTTTCTTTAGTATGTAATTTCTATTAATAAATGTGAACTATCTAGATCAAAATACTCAGGACTCTAAAGGTGTCCATTTATTTACTATACCCTTTCCTGTAATGAATGCATGAAGCTTGCACATCTTTTTTACATAAATTAGCTATCTAGCTATGTATTTTTTCTGTACCTTGTTTTTACCTAATTATGTATTTTTAGAGATCTTTTCATATTAACATATGAAGATCAGTTTTGTTCTCTTTTATATTTGTACTTAACCATTTTGTTTATACCTACCGGATCCCAAGCCCATCCCATCACGCGCACCAGGGAGAAGACGGGAACTAGTGACAGCTGGCTTCCGAAGGGCACTGACCTCCCGGGGAGAAGCAGAGACCTACTGGAGACTATATGATATGTAACATGAGGGAGGGAGGTAGAGAGATAGAAGAGGGTAAAAGAGTAAAAAAGTGAGAGGAGAAATACAATGACGTAGCCACATCAGAGGGGAAAAAAGGTAACTACAAAGGCAGAGAGAGCTGGAAACAAAAGGCATTTCTGCTATCGTGGTTTTACAATTTGTAGTTTAAAATATACTTTGTATATAGACTCCCACTTCACAGTAAGCCTGTGCAATATGTAGATCAAATAATATCGTTGAGCCACCTGACTTCCATCCCCTCAGCTGCCTATCTCATGAAACATGCCCATGTTTTCTATACTATAACTCAGGCTGGCTTGGCCTTGAGGAACAGGAGGGAGCTAAGTTTGAAAAGGAAAGGCAGGGCATCAGAAACTAGCAAGAATGAGTAGGCGAAGTGATATGAACAGAGCACAGGCTCCTGTTGAGGGAGGTTGACACTGTCCAAATGGTCAAGGAAAACTGAAGCTAGTTCCAGATCATTGTTAGTATCCCAAAGCATCCTATCCTGGGCGTGAAGTACAGGAGCAAGCGAATCTCAGAAGAAATGAAATTCAGTATTAGAAGAGCAGAATTTCAGCAGACAAAGTTGGAAGCCAATTATCAGAAGCACAAGTCTAATTTTCAAGGAGAAAAGGCCAGCAACGGCTCCATAGGTTGTTGGCTATCAGTGAGGTTGGCTTAAATTCAAGTCCTGCACTGTCAGCTGCAGAAATCAGGTTAATCAAGAACTGGGGTAGGTGGGGGCAAATGCTCCATCATGTGAATCCAAAAATGTAGGGAAAAGCGGCAGCTTGAGGACACAGGATCGTAAGTAGAGGCCAGATGCGATCCTGACACATGGGGTTTTGGATCTATTTTTTGCCCTCATCAAAAATAGTAGAGATGCAAAGTTGAGCCAGTAAGGAAAGCTAGGGATTCTTAGACTTCATTTCTACCTCAAAAGATGATGTTCTTGACAATAAATTGGACTAATTTTGATAATAACAAAAAAGTAACAGTTTCAGTGACAGCCTACTAATCTAAAGCATGCTCATTTATCTTAAAAGCAACTCTTGAAACAGGGAATACTTTTCTCCATATTTTGATGAGGCTGACAGTGAAACTGTGAGATATGCAATTGTTTGCTCACCACGTTCCTTGCCTTAAGTGTTAGAACTGTAATTCCAACTAAGCCTAATTCCTTTGTTATTAAACATGATTTACCAGCATATAAAGAGACTATGTTGAGAAATGTGACTTTATACAGATTTTTAGTCACAGTCTCAGTCTATTCTTTTTGGGTGATCTGCTTTTGAATTTTTTTTGTTGTTTTTTTTCTGGTACCGGGAATCGAACTCATGACCTTGCACTTGCCAGGCAGGTGCTGTGCCCCTGAGCTAAATCCCCAGCCCCTGCTTTTGAATTTGAGTATTAGTCTGTTCATTTTGATCATCCACCTCAGTTCTACACTTTTTTATGCTGTGAACTCAAAGCCAGCATGAACTACACAGTCAGTTCAAGGGCAGGCTAGAATATATAGCAAGATCCTGCTTTAAAAAAAGGTAGTTGTATTTTTAGTAAAGAGAAGAATCTTGCCAATACTCCATGGTACAGCCTGAAATAAATGATTTCGATAACAAGTAAAAGATTGTTCACTGGAGATATAGTTCTACTGAAATAGTCAATCTATTAACTATTTCAGCACTTGCCTGGCAAGCTCAAAGTTCTGAGTGCAATACCCAGTGCCCAAAAAGGCCTGTGGGATATTAATGCCAGTCCAGTAAATGGGAGCCATTTGTTTTGTTCTTACCGATTTTGTGCTGTAAGTAGAAAATAAGCTTCAACTTTAAAAAATAAGAAAACACATTCTGAGAACAAAGAGGCAGCTAAAGTAAATGATCAGATGCAAATGCCTCGGGAAAGGGGAGAAGGAAGAGTGACAATGTAGAACTGAGGTAGAAGATCAAAGTGAAGACATACTCAGACAACCAAGAGTTAAGAAAGTATATCAACCAAGAACATTGTCTAAAAATTTTGCTGAATGCTTTACTGCAGCCAACAAAAAAAAGAAATAAAATTGTTATGTACTAATAGTGTTATGTATTAAATATTCTATTTTAGTCAATAGAATAGGGAGATAGTTGTATGTACGATGTGATGGCTAAAAGTAGTTAAGAATATGAAGTCTAAAATTGTTATGTATAGGATAGTAAACCTAAATGCAAAATAGATTTGTGAGCTGGATCTAAAATTTCCAGTTCACATAGTTTCAGTTTTACGTGACTGTCAAACTGCACACCATATATTCAAGGTAAATATTGTTTAATTTTTGCCATGTAATGTAAAGATGGATGTTGTGAAGCCAAATATATGTTAAATAGAAGTGCTTTGGCACTCTGGCCAGGACAAATTCAGAGAAGACACTCTAAATGTTCATGTGCCAAAATTGGAAAATGGAACAGTTTTAATTCCTTAAAAAAAACCCTAACAAGTTCATAATGTTAATACTAACAATGTAAGGAGAAAACTTTCAAAGCACTGGTTAGAGAGGGGTGGATATATTTGGAATACTGATCGGGAAAGCCAGTAATTATTGCATTAGATGGTAGTTCGCAGAAGTTTTGTCATTCAATAGATTGTATACATTGCAGGTTTTGGGGGTAGAAAACAAATGAAAACCCCCAAAAATGTAGCAAAAGAAAAATACCAAGGAAGTATTAAACTTTACATAAAAAGTATGGACAGAAATAGAGATAATTATACTCACAAACTGGTTAAAGTCCCCATTATTAAGACCCAAATTAAGTACAAAAGTCAGTATCAGATTTAGATACACTTGTATAAAACACTATTAATACATAACAATTTTATTTCTTTGTCTTTTTGAGACAGGGTCTCACTATGCAGTTCAGGCTGGTCTTAAACTCACTTTCTAGCCCAGGCTGGCCTCGAACTCCCAATGATGCTCCTGCCTCAGCCTCCCCAGTGCTGGGATTACAGGCATGCGCCACCATGCCTGGCTTATATAGCAATTTTAGACTTCATATTCGTAAATGCAGTAAATCATTCAGCAAAATTTTTTACTGCAAAAATGCAGTAAATCATTCAGCCTTTTCAGAGAAGGCTCTTGGTTGAGAAACTTTTTAAACCCCGTGGTATCTGAGAATGTCTTCCAGTTGCCTTTACACACAAACACTGACTTGGCAGGGAATATAACTCTTGGTTCGAAATTATTTTCACTTAAAACTCTGTAAATGTTGTTCCATTGTCTTTTGGTATTTAGAATTGTGAGAAAAAAAAAATCTGAGGTCAGTTTGACTTTTGCCTCTTTATAGGTAACCTCTTTCTCTGGATACTTGAAAGATTTTTTCTTTATGCTTAAAATTTAAGATATGCCTAGGTGTTGCTTTCTTCTAATTAAAATTTAAAGGTATCCTGTGAGACTTCTTCATTTTCAAGTCTACTTCATTCTTTAACTCCGGAAAATTTTCTTCAATTAGTTGCGTAATTATTGTTTCTGCTTCATTTGCTTTGTCTTCTGTTTTCTATTATGCGTAGATTGTATCTCCTGGACAGGCCCTCTACATCTTTTTTTTTCTCTCTTTCTTTTTTCTCTTAATTTCTTTGGCCTTTTCCTCTGCATTCTGTGAGAATTTCTCTTATTTTCCATTTAACTGAGGAATTTACTTTATAACGGACTTTTCTTCTGTGGTTTTTCAAACAGGCCTCGATCTTTTCCATGTGGTCACACAACCCCTACTTTACAACTAAGGCCAAGTGCCTACGGAACTCTGTTGAGCCGTCAATAATTTCGGCAAGTTTGCTGTAGATCGGTGGACTGCAACAGTCCAGTACATCAGTATCAAGAGGAGGCATTTTCTCGATTAATTCGCTCTGTTCCTTTCTTCACAACTACGGTCGTACAACCTTGAAAACAAACAGAACCATAAATCTCTATACTACGATTGATGGAGTCCAAAGATCCACACTGATAATAATCAATGATTTTAATTAAATACATATTCTTACCTTTTCAACGACTCTTCGCAAAGGAGTGCAAGCAGTTTTCCCAAGCACCGGAGTCGAAGAACCAAAATAACTCTTACGTCATCTCTTCGCGCCTCACGTTAGGGCCAATAGCACAGCGCGCAGCTTGTCTCAACGAGGGGTTCTAGCGTTTCAGTCCCTAGCACGCTGAGCCCACACCCCCGCCCTTCCGCCCTTGGCGCTCTGCCCATCCTAGGGGCGATCACGTAGTGCGCACGCGCAGCACTCTATTCCTCTTTCTCAGTCTTCCATTGGCTTGACTTACATCCGGTCCTACCTTGAAGGCGGGGCTAAAGCCTCGCGGTGGCCAATGGCATTCCAGGGGAGAGTTGAGTGCGGGGTGTTGGCCTGCCCTTGCTGCAAGCTATTTCCAGCGTGAGTGTCAGGCGTCCTGGTCGTTATGGAGGCAGCCGTGACCGAAGAGCTGGATGAAGAGGAGCAGCTGATGAGAAGGCATCGCAAGGAGAAGAAAGAGTTGCAAGGTGATGGGGAAGGAAGTGGGAAACTAGAAGTCGTCTAGACCCAGGGAAGGGCGCTTAGCGGGTTGGTTTTGGGGCATCTGGGAGGGAGAAGGGCCTGGATCCTCTCAGACTCTTTCAAAGTGACAAATATGATGCTCTTCTCGCCCGTCTCCACCACCCAGGCGGCCCCTCATCTCGCAGCCGTCGCAGGCTGCCTCCCAGGCCTGACGCAGAGCAGGTCTGGGCCGTGACTGGTCCCCTCCTAGCGTCCTTCGGCCTCGTTCCCGAGTCTGTCCCGTCCCTCGTCTGCCTCCTTTCCCCATATCTGCCCCTCCTTTCCCTTTCCACCCTCCACCCTTCCCATTCCTGCCCCAGTTACGGACGCTCGGCCCTCGCGGGTGGCTTCTGAATGCTTCACCTCGGTGTGGAGGGCTGGGAAAGGGTATTTGAAAGGTTTAAACTTGCTTCACAGCACTGTTTTCATTTTCATCCTCCGGTCCAGCCAAACCAGCCAAACCCAAAGTTTGATAAATGAGGAGTTTTTGTTTTGTTTTGTGTGATCTCAAGCTTCACCTGGGCTCTTTTGTAGCTGTTAATGTGATGACTTCTTGTTTCCACAATTACTTTTTCTATATGTATGTCCTCTCCCCTTTCTGTTCTGTTACTGGTTCTGTTTCGTATTTCCTCTTATTCCTGAGTTTCTGACTTAATAATTTTGGTGACTTTTTAGCCAAAATTCAAGGTATGAAGAATGCTGTTCCCAAGAATGACAAAAAGAGAAGGAAGCAACTCACTGAAGATGTTGCAAAGTTGGAGAAAGAAATGGAACAGAAGCATAGAGAGGAACTGGAGCAACTGAAGCTGGTTGCCAAGGAGAATAAGGTGCGTGACATATTTGTATTGTCTACAGCATCTGAAAACAACTGTCCCCATCTGTTAAATTGATTATGTAAAACCGGAAAGTTGGTAGGGAAATAAAGTCTTTTAGTTACGTTCATCCAGGGCCAGGGATATAGCTCAGCGGCACAAGTGCCTGCCTAGTTATGTTCATCTATTTTTAGTTATGCTTTATCTGTTTACTTGATTAAAAGATGAACAAGTTGATAAAGTATACCATGGGAAGCTTCAAATGAAAACTGGTGCCAGAATTGTCACTGAATAGGATTACCACCTGGACAAAGTTAATCTACCCGATCATAATTTTACCCATATATAATGTGATGACACAGATTCTTTTGCTGTCTAATCATAGGTTCTTATAAAGGTCAAATGGGACAACATATGTGAAGTCATTTTAAAATTACATATTAAATTCCTTTATTACAGTTTGCTCATGGAGCAAGTTGTATCAACAAAATTTTACGGATATTTTTTGACTAAATGGGAGCATGATTTTTATCATTTTGACCAATATGTATTAATCATTAGTCAAGATACTGGCCTTCTTTGCCCTTAAGATATCGTACACTAGCTACAGAAAACAAGGTACCCTTCTTGAGGTGTTTGTTACAACTGTGATATTCCTAATTGCCTCCCCCTCTTTTTTATTAGCAAGGTAGTGTTGTTTGCTCTCTTAGGTCTTCAATTTCAAGATTCTTTTACTAGGTTTACAAGGACAAAAATGTTTGATTCATAAAATTACATATTTTCTACCTGTTGAAATACAAACTCCCATTCTACTTTGAACTCTTACCTTTTTCATTAACTTAAATTTTTTTGAACCCTACCTAAATTTTTATTTCTTTGCTTTTTTGTTTTTCAAATACCTGTTTGTATCTTGCCTGATGTCAGTGTGTGAATTTTAGCAGAATCCTCTGAAAAATCAAGATTCCTATTTTCAATAACATTGATAACCATTCTTTGAACCCTTTGTCTAATTTTGATATTTTGAACAGCCTTTGAAAACTACTGTCTTTATGTGGTAGAGGGCTTAAGTTATTTTATGTGTCATACTAAGAAGTAGCTTAACTTATAGTAATAAAGTGCTATTTACCCCAATAGAAGTCTAGCATTATATTTTCTTACCTTCACAAGCATGTAATAGCCATTTGAGTTTTAGTGTTGGTTGTACTATCTAATAATATCATAAATGATATTTTCTGCCTTAAGTTAATCAGTTCATAGATAGGAAAAGAGAAGAAAAGTTCAAGACTCAGTGCTTATCAAGCTCTAATAGGATGGAGAAGAACATCTGCTGCCAAGTTTAAGGTTATGCAGTTAGTAATGAACCGAGCCAGCACAGGACCTATATTTTTTCTTTTTCTTTTTTTTTTTTGTAGTTTTTCTCCGGTACCGGGAACCGAACTCACGACCTTGCGCTTGCCAGGCAGGCGCTTTGCCGCTGAGCTAAATCCCAGCCCCAAGGACCTGTATTTTTTTTTATATGGCCCATTAGCATTCAGAGGTAGGAAGGGTATGGTCTTGAATGAATTGGCACTTATTTAGGAAGTGAGGTCCTTCCTGTTGATGGAGTGAGTGTTCCAAAAAGGAGGGAAGACATGCACAAATAAGCATTATCTTTTAAGAGTTACAGGGAAACTTCATGGGAATCTGACATATTCTCTCACAAAAGTAAAGAAAAGAGATGAATGCATATTACATACTGTGATGTGTCTGGTGCTGTTACTTAAATTTGAAATGTAGGGTCGATGTACTTGTGATTTTTAACAATAATTTAGTAATTTAATGCTTTCACAAATACTACCAAAGTATTTTCATTGACATGTTAATGCTTTTTGTTTCTTTCAGATAGATTCTGTCGCTGTTAACATTGCAAACTTGGTACTTGAGAATCAACCACCTCGGATATCAAAAGCACAAAAGAGACGGGTATGAAAGTCATGTCACCAAGTATATAAGTTAGTGTTGTGTGCATAATATTATATATATATGTTTTTTTCTTAATTTCTAAAAATGTTTTTGGTGGTGGTAGTGGTGGTGGTGGTCATACTGGGGTCTTTGCACTAGGCTACATCTCCAGCCCATTTTTAATTTTTTATTTTAAGATTCGCTAAGTTGCCCAAGTTGTGCTCCAGCTTCCAACCCTTCCTGCTCAGCCTCCCAGAGTCCTAGGATTGCATACCTATGCCACAAGGCCTGTTTTCAGTATAAGCTTAGATACTGTATAAGGAGAGAATTAAAGAAAAAAAAGATGGAATGGTTTTAAAAAGACCCAAACTAACGTTAAGTACTTGATACATACCAGATATTGTGCTAAGCTGTTCGTGTGAAATATGAAATCTCATTTAGTCCTGACAATAATCCTAGGAAGCAGGATGTTTTTATCCTGATTTTATAGAGAAGAAAATAGGTCTAAGACATTGTAAGATGTCCAGCATGCAGTTCTGATAGGCAGGTTGGGCTGGGGAGTGCAAATGGATTTTGTTTTAAACAAGTGTGTTGTCCCAGACTTAATTTAGACTCTTTAGAGTATGGGCTCGAGTTAGTCTGATGTCTGATGTGCAGCCCTCGTTAAAAACTATGGTACTAAGTGAGGAAACAAGGATTTAAATCCAGAAGTTAAACAAGTAAGTATAGAAAGAAGTGTAAGTATACCAAACTCTCAGAGAATTCTCTGGGTATTTATATAATGGTTAATTACAGTAGAGACTCAGAGAAGGGAAAGTTTGTTGTGTCAAATGATGGGTTAGAATTTGAAGGAGTTATAATTATTTAGATAGGTTATTTCAAGTAGGAGGAACAATCTATTAAGACAAATGTGGAAATAAATTATTAGTGAACAGCTAAAAAGAAACTGCTTTATTGAAAGTAGTGAGTTAATGATCTTAACATCACAGTAATGAGATTGCCTAGTCAAAGCCCTTTGGCTTTGAAAAAGACATTTAGATTCAACTTTTTAGTACCACATGTTTTACTAAGACTTGATATTTTCTAGGATTTAAATGCAGATTTTTAAACTAGTTTTCCATCTTACTTAGTAGTACATAATTTAGTAGAGCATACAGCAGGTGAGAGTTTTTTTCTTTTTGTTTTTTCATTTTCTTTACACTGCTGGAGATCAAATCCAGGGCCTAATGCATATTAGGCTAGTGCTATAAACTCTGAAGTTCTCCTACTGTCCAGATGCAGTTTTAATTTCCCTTACTTGCTTAAGATTTTTAACTTTTTAAAGCTTCGGTTAAATATCTATAAAATGTGGGAAAATGATAAATGTGGATTGTTGAGGATATTAAATAATACATTTTTGCCAGAGCTCTTAATACAAAGCCTGGAGATCTAATAGGTCAAAAAGTGATAGAGTTGTTTATTCTGTTAAGTATAGGATGCCTTTTGAAAATTTCATCCTAAGAGCAATGTCTTTTTTGTTTGAAAGTTGGTTTAGTTGTAATTGTCCAACATTTCTCATACTTGTATTTTATTTTATTTATTTAATTTTGGTTTTTATGAGACAGAGTCTTGCTATGTAGTTAAGACTGCCCTTGAACTTACTGTGTAGCACAGGTTGGCCTCAAATTCAAGGCAATCCTCCTGTCTCAGCCTCCTGAGTGGCGGGACTAAAGCATGTGCCAGCCTGCCCAGGAGAATTTTATTCTTGAGTAAATATTATGATTGTGAATTTCAAACAGTCAAAAGTTTAGATCTTATATCTGGTTTAATTCCTTATTTATGATGGTCATTCTTTTTGTGATTGCCCCACAATTGTCACCTAGCTTCTATAGATCAAAAATGGTCAGGAATTTTACATGCCAGTAGCATAATTTTTGACATTACTTAGGTATTGTTACATCTTATAGTAACTGACTTAATTCTGGAAAACATAAGGTGACCACTGACTTCCGTCTTTATCAAAAGTTGTTTATCTCTACCCTTACCCTCAGGCACCAACACAAACCAAAACAGAACTCCTTTTCCTTTCTCAAGCATATTGTTATTTTCTTTTAATTGGTATGAATCCCCTTTTAACTATACTCTCAAAAAGTTTAATACTTTTTTGTAAGCAGTTGCTTTCCACTTAGCAGAGAAAATGCCCTGAAGAAATGTCATTTCATATACTAATGAGATTCTGAAATAGAAAACACTGGAAGTTTATAATAGTTAAGAAAATAGAACCTGAAATTAGGTTGAACAGTTGGGTATTGGATTATTTGAAACCTCTTTTTTTGCCAAAGCACCAAGAAATAAAAAGCCAGTTAATGAAACGTGTTTATCTTTGAGAAAGATACAACTCTGGAAGAAAAGAATGTAACAGAACTTGTGTAACATTTATTGTAAGAATATCATAAAATACTTTAGAGCACATCTTATTTTTAATCTGAAAAACAATCAGCTGATTTATTTCAAAGAATTTGGAAACTTTTTGTTCCAGTGGGAAGAGTCCAAAGTAGAAATTAGAAGAACTGGGCTTCAAAAAATATGAAAGTTGATAGAATGAGATCTAGTCTAGTGTCTTTATTTTACAAGTAAGAAAGATGAGACCCGGATGTTCTCATTGGCATACTGAAAGTTTGATGCAAACCCAAGACTAGTGCCCAGCTCTTCAGATTCCCATCATGTTGCTTTGCTGAATTATTTTATTAACCTGCTAGGTTTACCAGTAATATATTTATGAGTTCCATGCTATTTTTCTTTTTTATACATGTTCATTAGACATTGTGGGTTTCATTCTATCTCCAGTCCTGTGGGAGAAAACAAAGTGTTATTGGGGTACTTCACATTGCACAGAAAAGAGTCCAGTGCATTTCCCAACAAGTATGCGAGAAAGGAAACTCATTTGCCATGTGATACTGAAACAGAGAATGAGGAAAAATAAATAAAATGATCAGAATTAGTATTTTTGACTTAAAAGATTTTGCAGGTAGCATAAAGTTCCACTTTTCCAATAAAAAGTATGTGACATCATTAACTCCAGCTACCATCTGCTCCAGCTTTTACTCTGATTCAGGTGCCTGGATAGAAGGAGCTCTCTGTGTTGTCCTTGGTCCCTGCTCTGCTGTAACCAGCTGTATGGCCTTTGGAAATCTTTCTGCATGCCGTTTCCTCAGAAGAGGAAAATGAGGGGTTTTGGATTAGATGGTGTCTAAGGTGCTTATTTTTCCTCTCCCCTCTGAAACTGTTGCTTAGTCTTTTATAAAGTAATAGTGCCATCTTGTGTTTTAAAATTTTATTTGTGCCTGTGATCTAAAGTTGTAGATAGGCAGTGAAATAAATTTGTTCGTGTTGCTTCTGTTGTGGTTACATTTGTAAGGAAAATCCTGAACAAGCTTGTGTTTTGTAAAAGAGAAACTGCTGCTTTTGTTTCAGGTAACTTAGAAATGACTTCAAGTTTGTCTGATATGGCACAAAACAGGCAGCCACGACAAGTATGTGGTGCTTAAGTTTAATTGCATTTGCCTTCCTCTGCCCAGAGAACAAGGGGCATGATGGTCTCCCTTTTTCTGCTCTTGGTTGACCCTCTCTTTCACTGTAATCTATTACTTATATCAAGATTTGTAGAATTTAGTGAAACATTTTGTTTTCTTAAACTGAAAGGCAGTTTCCTCCCTGAGTGTACAAAGAAGGCATAGTCATGGTAGAGAATCAGAAAGATGAAGAAAAGCACACAGACACACATGTAGCCACAGGCACACACACAGTGTATTTTGTAGTTCTACTGAGAAAATATATTTTGTATGTTATCTTTCTTGTCTTTCTTTTTAATGGTAGGTAAGCATAGACTTTATTAATCACAAACCTATCTTCTGTGTTTCTAGTCTTTTTTTCCTTAATGCTGTGTAAGTTATATTAATCATGTTCCTATCTTTTTAACCCCCAACTTCATCTTTTAACACTGTTTCTGGCACTCTAGCTCTGTGAATTATTTTTAGCTGTGAAATATATGGTGCTCTCACTGGCTTGTGATCCTTATTAGTTTAGCGGTTAAGGTCTTTTCCTTCTCCCCTACCCTTCCCACTCCACTCATGTCATAGATGTCTCGTTGACCTCACCCAGCCCATCCTTACATATGCCACCATGGGGAGCTATATTAAGATGTTTGAGTGAGGAAACACGTTGCAGAATGGAACGTGTGATACCGTTTTTGTTGTAACACATTACACGTGTTCTGTGCTAAACTATGTTTATTAAAATGTATAGAAAAACACTTTAAGGATACACACTAAGTCTAGAGAGAGCACTATAGGAGTAGCAGTGATACTTAAGGGAAACTTAGGTGTATCTACTTATTTTAATTTTTTGTATAGCAGAATGTTTTTACCTTTTACTTTATTAAATATATGCGTATAGGTAGATGCACACTTTCTTCTTTCTTTTTTTTTTTTTTTCCTGTGACAGGAATTGAACTCATGATCTCAACTTGCCAGGCAGGTGCTGTGCTGCTGAGCTAAATCCCCAGCCCCCACACTTTCTTCTTAAAGCTAGATAAAAGAATGTCTGCCTAAAGGCTTTAGCATATTAATTCCAAATATGATAGAACGTTAAAGTTGGATTGGCTTGAGCTTAAATATGATAATAATGTGAGTTAGAGCTTAAAACAACTCAGTCTTAAGACAGTATTTTGAAATGAGCAATAGAAGGAACTTGACAGTTTTTGTTTGTGTCTTTGGTTTTGAGACAGGGTCTCATTGTAGTTTAGGCTAACCATGAACTCTTTTTATAGTCCAGGGTGGACTCAAACTCATTGTGATCTTCCTGTCTCAGCCTCCCAAGTGCTTGACAGGTAGTTTGAAGTAGACTTTGTAAGAAAGATTTTATTATGTCTCGGTACAGAGATAGGTCCTGGGAACACACAAATCAGATGGGTAAAATAGTTTGCCCTAAAAGATGTTTATAGTATAGAAAAGTCTCTAAGTGATGAGATCATCAGTATGACAGTGCTTGTGGAGAAAGGGAGGAAAACAGCAAAAGATTTTGAGAATCTTATATCCCCATCCCCTTAATAGATGAGAACCAGTCCTAATTATCATGAATTAACTTTCCTACATTTTCATTTTAGGAAAAAAAAGCAGCACTGGAAAAGGAGCGGGAAGAAAGAATAGCTGAAGCTGAAATTGAGAACTTATCTGGAGCCAGACATATAGAAAATGAAAAACTTGCTCAAATATTGGCAGCCAGAGAGTTAGAAATTAAACAGATTCCGTCTGATGGCCACTGTATGTATAAAGCCATTGAGGATCAACTCAGAGAACAGGACTGCACTCTGACTGTGGCTACTTTACGAAGTCAAACGGCTACGTATATGCAAAGCCACGTGGAAGACTTTTTGCCATTTTTAACAAACCCTAACACAGGAGATATGTATACCCCAGGTAAGTTTTTTAACTACATTTTATTAGTGGTTGGGCTTGTTTTTAAATAGGCTGCATATTTTTCCTGCACACAAGAACAAGCCATACAACCATTCTGAGAAGAGTTTATCACAAAATTTAGTCAAAGAAACTGAAAGAGTAAATAAAATATGGAAGGTACAATAGATACTGTGAAAGGGAAAAAAATTGCTAGGGAAAGGAGAAAAGAAGGAAGGGAAAAAATAATACACACATACACACACAAGATAGCTAAGGTAATTGTACTATTAATTTCTATTTGTTTATTGAAAGGAACAGTTAATGCTTAATTTTTTTTTCACCAATTTTACATGCTTATATCTAGTAATCTGAACAACTACTTTGGGGGCTGGGGATTTAGCTCAGCGGCAAAAGTGCCTGCTTGGCAAGCGCAAGGTCGTGAGTTCGGTTCCCGGTACCGGAGAAAAACCAAAAAAAAAAAACTGAACAACTACTTTGAAGATAACAATATGCAATATAACAACCATTGTTGACTTCCTGTCATCTTGTTTCAAAATTCTGTATCATATTTAATTTTTTTTTTTTACTTTTTATTCTCTTTAAAAGAAAAAACCCCAAAGTTTAGTCAGAATTATTTTCTGTAATTTGAATAGATGTTGGCACATACTACTTTATTTAGGTCTCTTAAGCACTTAACCATTCGTCAGTTAAAATAAATTATTTTATATAAGATAGCAATAGGAATAGCATTAATCAGTATTGAAAAAAATTTCATTAAGTTCATACTTAATAAGATTAAACATAAAGGAAAGTAAGCTTTGACCGGTCTCTAGAAGAGCACAAGCAGAAAATGATTGTGAAAACTGATTTCTTTTATTCTGTACTTTAGAAGATTTAATGTTATTCTCAAGAAGTTTAATTAGGAAAATTACTATCTGTGTAAACGTTGATATTATAAAAATAAGTCAGTTAATACCCTGCCTTATTTGTTTTTTGTTTTTTTTTTTTTTGGTTTTTCTCCGGTACTGGGAACCAAACTCACGATCTTGCGCTTGCCAGGCAGGCGCTTTTGCCCCTGAGCTAAATCCCCAGCCCCTACCCTGCCTTATTTGATGCAGCACTTGCGATGTGTAAGATAACTAAAACACAACTAGCAAATGAGGGGAAGAGCAAGTATAAATCTGAAAGGATTTTGGGGGAATAAAGAGTAGAGGAAATCTTGACTTTGAGAGAAGATGCGGGTTTTGCAGTATCCATTGGGGAGCAAGTTTTACGGCCAGTATAGAATGCTAAAGGTTGACTTTTCTTTTTTTTTGTACTGGGAATCGAACTCAGGACCTTGCACTTGCCAGGCAGATGCTTGTGCCGCTGAGCTACTTCCCAAGCCCAAGGTTGATTTTTCTTTAATGGAGTCTTCCCTCTATGGAAGTAGAGCAGCATGAGTACATGCTGAAGAATAGATAAGAAAGTTGACAGTTGAATGATCACTGGCCATCCCTTTAGTGAGCAGAGCCTAAAGGCATCTGCTGCTAGATTAGAAGTATAACTGTAGATGACTCTAACCTTGTAGCTAGCTTATTTCTCATTGGTGTTATATTGGTAATGTTAATGTACCTTTTGCTGTTTTAGGGTATTGCCATTTTCTGAATAACTAGGATTTGCTATGAGCCGTGAAACATTCATATATTTTGACATCCACTGAAATAACTTGATAAATAGCTCTTTTATACTTCATCTCCAGTTTGATTACTTAATCAGTGAAACTCCCCAGCTTTGATAGTGGTAGGGAATTTGAGAGGAGGTGGCATTTCATTGTGCTGAGTCAGAGAGAAATAGAAAGACTAATTATCTTCATTCAGTCAGTATTTGTTGGGCATTGTGTGCAAAGCAGTACTCTAGGCACTGTTCTGAACACGGAGGATTTAAGAGTGAATGGGACAAATACAGGGGATACATTTTTCTTCTAGATGCGCATAGTTTCTTGTCCCCTCTCTGGCCAAGGAGGATGTCTGTGGCTTATTTTAACCTGCTGAATAAAAAGGAGTATGAATAAAATATGCCCATTTTAAACTCAGAGAAGAGGTCTTTTACTTCTTTCAGGGCCATTCTGATAACCCCTTTTCTTGGCTAACACAGATATTATATAGGAATATATATAATTAGTCTTTCACATTATAATTTTGGGTGCAGGTTTGGGATTCAAAACACATGTCAAAATGGTAAATATGGTGACGGTGGTTATCACATTGCGTAAAGACAGAAATGTAGGTTTGTAATGTTTGGGCCTCAGGCTGAGGGAGATAAGCAGAAATGATTTGGTTTTGGATGAAAAGGTGGTGGAAAGTTGGGTGAATCATGTCTGAACCTGTGAGGGAGATTAAATTGTGGAGGGAAGCGATAGAGAACTAAGATGTGCGTCACTTGGGCGTTTTCATCAGGAACTGTGGGAGCTATGGAAGGGATCTTGTATCGAGAGTTATGAAAAGTAAGTGCTGTCTTCTGATGTGTTCCCTACAGAAGAGTTTGGAAAATACTGTGAGGATATCGTAAACACAGCTGCGTGGGGAGGTCAGCTTGAGGTATGTTCGTAATTATTCATCCCAACTGTGGGTTGTTAAATGATTTTGGAATCTCTTCTGTGGTATTCAGATATTTTTAACTGATCCCATTTTTTGTTTAAAGATTGCTTTTCTTTGTATCTTTGCCATTTCTCTGGTGAAAAAGAAGTGGGAAATTAACATTCCTTTGCTTTTGACTAACGTATGTACCTGAAGTAGTGAAGCATCATTGCACTTTAAATAGCTCAGTGTTAGAGCTATGTTTTGGAGAAGCTGGTGCTCATCTGTGTAAGTTTTCATGTGTGAGGCTACCACTGTATTCGACTGTTTACACTTTAAAAAGTGAAGATTTTACTCAAGGTAAAATTTACCCTAATGAATCAGCTGTTGCAAATCACAATAGGGAAAGTTATTTTTCCTTTACATCAGAAATAGAAAAAAGTATATATCTGTGTGAGACTGCAGGTCAAATCTTACCATAGCACATCTGTTTCAAGTGTTATTTTGAATTCCTGTTGATATCGACTTACTTGAAAGCAGGAATTGATGCATTAAAGTTGAAATTAAGAAAATAATAACTTGTAGGGAGTTATTAGGATTTTCTTAGAACAGATTTTTAAAATCTTACTGTTAGGTTTGTCTCATTAAAACAAACACAACACCTAGAAGTTCCCATGGTAATGAAGAATCTGGAGTATTAGAAAGACAGAGGTTAAGAAGGGAAAGTCTAAGTTCAGATTCTGACTTGTCTTCGTACTCCTCTGTTTTGTGACTTTGGGGAAGTCAGGTAACCTTTGGAGCTTCAGTTTTTAAATTATCGAATGAGAATAATAAGACCTTCGTGTATATTGCAAGCATTTGTGAGCACTAAGGTAGTGAGCACATATGTAAAAGTTAAGCCGCCAGATGGATGAAGCTAGCTCTAAATATTTCACTTTAGGAACTGAAGATGTGATGTAAATATGTTTCCATAAACTTTTTCTTAGCAGTGTGGTATTTGTAGCTTTCCACCAGAGGGAACTGTGTCCATTAGTTTTGTATGCGTCTCCTGGGTGTCAGAAACTCAGAGTTTCGTAGTTGCTTTGTGACTATACTGAACTCTTACAGAGATCACAAATTAAAACAAGTATTGGAGGCCTAATCAACTTTACTTAAAATGAGAGAAAACTTTTTAAACATACTTCGAAAGACATTGACTCATGAATTGTTTATGAATTCATTTGAAATAAAAGTTGCTGTTTTCACAATGCAGCACCCTTATATTAGTCAAAACTAGAACCCCCCAAAATCCCTTTATTATATGATTTCTGAAGAATTAGAAGAAGTCTTAAGATTTGTAGGGCTGGTTTTGCACCCTTCATTCTGTACCGTTTTTTATAAATATTATGTTAGATACAAGAAATACATACTTCAAAGGAACATTCTGTAAAATAGAATATGGAATTATATTTGTGTAGCATAGAAACTTTTCCATATTCCTGAAGTAATTTACATGCTTTCAAAACCTGTAAGGACTGTGTTCCTGTAGTGGGGCAAATACATAGATCCAAGGTGCTATGAAGACTGGTAGCGATTAATCCATTTATGAACTTCGACTTAGAATCAGGCTTCCCCAGTTCAGTACAGCTCATTCAATTTCTTAATGTTTGATTTTGCTAGATCTCTTGACCTTTCCCTGCCTTCGATTCTAGGTTTTTAAAATAACATGAGTATATAAAGTGTGAAGATTAGTAATTAGTATAGAATAATGTTTCAATTCTTAGAGTACTTAGTCATAGTAAGTCTGCAAATGTTAGCATTAATTTCCTTAGTAACTCTTGTTCATCAGACACCAAACTCTAACTTACACTGTATGTTATGAAGTTAGTTAAAATTGTGTAGTATTTTAATCAGATGGAAATTTCTTGAAAGAGCAGTATAGTTTATATGCATATCTCATTGTACTCCTGGCTTTCAAAGTTGTACAGTGGTATTTCTCAACGTTGCTTACACATCAGAGTCATCTGAAAAACATTAAAAAAAAAGAAACCTGCATTGTTGTGTGCCCTCCCCATCCTTCAGTTATTGATTTGGTTTGGTGCTTAAGCATCAGTATTTTAAATATGATAATCAAATCTACCTATCACCCCATTTCATTAACTATGACACTGATATTTTTACAAAGCTGTTTATTTTCACTGTGTGCCAGGCTTTTAGTATGTAGTTAGGAACAGAGAATGTCCTTACTCTAATTTGTTGCCGTGTTCAAGTGTTTATATTTCAGTGCTTTAGGATGTGAATACAATTTACATTTTTATTTTCCTTACTAATGCTTTTTTTTTTCCTGTAGCTAAGAGCTCTGTCTCACGTTTTACAGACACCTATAGAGATAGTACAAGCAGATTCTCCTTCTATTGTAGTTGGTGAAGAATATTCTAAAAAGCCATTAACACTTGTGTAAGTACCTAAATATTTCAGTTGTTTTACTTTTCATAATTAAACAAAAAGGCATTAAAAATAATTTACCTTTTTAAATTATCCAAAACACTACTTTAAATTAATTCTGCTTATCTTATATTAAAGATAATTGTAGAACTAGAAAGCATTGTCAGAATACATGATTTAGATAATTGTCTAAACTCGTAGTGATTTATTTATTTGTGTGTATGAGTTAAGAACACGGTGATTTCTAAAGATTGCAAAGTTTAAAGAAAAGATTTCCAAGTTTTAGAGCTAGTTTGTATATTGTCCTGGTTTGATATTAATAATGCTAACTAAAAGCTTCAACAAAGGTAAAAACTGAAATACAGGAAGTTAGGAGGTTGACTCTTGTAGACGGGAAGGGAGGATAAAGGAATTGAAAATATTCAAGATATATTATATGCATATACAAAGTCCCTGAAACAAACAGCACTGTTTTGTATTATATTCTTTAGAAAAGGTAAAATATGTTCATGTTGCTTATTTATTCCTTAGAGATTTTTTTCCCTTCATATTGTCAGTATATTTTGATTGAAAAAATCTCTGAAACACAGCATGCAGGATTTCTTTTTTTGCTTTAGTGTTTACTAACTAAACTTACTAAGGTAGTCACTAATGGCTTGAATTTAGTTGAAAATTTGAAATTTATTAAGCACTCATCTCAGCCTTTCCATTTTCCCCCGGTGGTTGAACCACTTGCTGACTGCTGGTGTTTGTCAAATGGTGCTGAACTCCTAATATGCTCATGTAGTCTACTGAATGATACCCCTGTGGGCTGAGTCATTCAGAGTGTTTGGTATTGTAAGGATAATAAGAATTTATATACAATGAATTATTTTTTATCAATACTGCTTATTTTTTTTATTGCAGATATATGAGGCATGCATATGGCTTAGGAGAACATTATAATTCTGTTACACGGTTGGTGAACACAGTTACTGAAAATTGCAGCTAGTTTACAAAACATTATGCATTTATTTATGTTTTAGTACAGTATGCCAATCTGAGTATCCTGCCAAGTGCTAGATTGTTGGTGTTCTAAATGCTGTTGTAAAACACAACTACCTTAATCAGTTTTATGAAGAAGTTTACAAACAGGCTTTTTAGAATTATGTCAAGTATGTCAGAGATAAACTTTAAACATTTTCCTCTTCGTGGTATTTTTAAAGCTGGTAAGTCTTTTGTGGACAACATCATTCATAGGCCAAGAGAGTACCCTCTTCACTGAGATTTTTAATTATATCATCCTGAATATTCTGTTTTGTAACAAATTTTAAATGTCTTAAAACTCTTCCCAATGATAAAAGCTTCCCAAGTAATCATTTTAATGTGATTTTTTTTTTTTTTTTTTTTTTTTTGGTTTTTCTCCGGTACCGGGAACCGAACTCACGACCTTGCGCTTGCCAGGCAGGCGCTTTTTGCCGCTGAGCTAAATCCCCAGCCCCTTTAATGTGATTATTTTGAAGAATGAAAGGGACTGCTTCTCTTTGTCATTGAAACAGTGTATGGTGGTAGCAAATTTAATTAATGCATATAAAATTTACCAGATTGCTACCTTTTTACTCATTCTCTAGTATGACTGAAATAAATTTGATGTTCATGGAATTAATGGAGTGAAGCTTTTTACATAGGACTGTGCATTTCAAAGATGCAGAGAAGAAGCTTGCTTCCATAATTAAGAATTTTAAAATATTCACGTGGAAATCAGTGGTTTAAAGAAGTGAGACAAAGTCAGAGATAAATATAGTTTTGCTGTTGTCTACTTTAAACTCTAAAGAATTAAGAGACTTACCTTGTATTTGTGTGTTACTTTAGATATTTTTTTTTTATTTTAAAAAGTAAAAGAAGGAAAACATACTAACAAACAGACATCCATTTACAAAATAGCATAAGAACAATGCAAACCAAACAGAGTTACAGATAAAGTTGTAGGAAATTAACCATGGTTGTTGTATGACTTATTGATATCTTCAAAGTGGTTTCTCAGGAAAACAAATAGAGACATACAAGATTGATCAAACAAGTAATCATTACTGTTCCTTTCTGTAGAGCAATTGTGTGTTACTTTAAAGAGACCTAACACATTTTGGTCTACTTTGTTTGTTAATCTTCTCAGTTTCTTAAACTTCAGGCTGGAGTTAGTGCTATCATCTCTTTATTCTCTTCATAACTGTACGTTTTTGTATTTTCTAGTGGGTTTTTTCCATTACTGTTCAGCAGCCGGGCTTTCCAGAAGCCTCCCTCACTCTTTACATTGTATCAGTTGAAGATTTGGCCGTATAAAAGGGGCCAAGGCCACATTTACCTCAAATTCCTCCTTTTTCCAATTTGTTTTACGAGATTGCTACCTTTTTACTCATTCTCTAGTACTAATGTGATTTTTTTTCAATTTAAATATTTGAAAATTTTTATGTTGCCTCTATGGGTACAGTTGGAGAGCCAAGAGCTGTGTAGTAAAATCAGTATACAATGATTTTCTGTGTGAATAACTTGCCTAATTCAGATTCCAGATAATTTTTAACAGTATTCTAGGGGGAGAGTCCCTATCTATGCAAGTGTATTTGATAATTTGTTATGTAAAAAAAATTATGAAAATAAGAACTTTTGATGTGTTTTTCTCAAATTCCTTGAACTTGTGCTTTATGTATAATGTTATGAGTAAATACTGGGCTTATAATATTATAAATAGAGCCAAACATGGTGGTGCATGCCTGTAATCCCAGCCCTCGGGAGGCTGATGCTGGAGGATTGCCATGAATTTGAGGCCAGCTTGAGCTACATAGTGAGTTCTAGGCCAGCCTATCCTACAGAGCAAGACCCTGTCTCAAAAAACCAAAAAGAAAAAAAAAAAAAGCCAGACTCACATGTGCAATAGGTAACAATATGAGAAGCTGGTAGGGGCTGTGGTAAACTAGAGCAAGTCACTACTTCCCAAGGGCATCTTAATCAACAGATTAAAAACCACTCTTCCTGCTAAACAAGATATTCTCAAATCTCCCTGTTTTGTAACCTGTGACTTGAATTTTTTCAGGCCTGAAGTTAATAAAGAAATGGAATTGTAAAATATAAAATGCTTTGTGTTTATTTTGAAGTACTCTCTTGCTTTAAAATTAAAGTATCAGCATTAAGAAGTAATAAAATATAAAATCGTCGTAAATTCTATCTTCATCAAAAGTATTCTAAGATAAGCAATTTTTTAACAAAGAAAAATTAGAATTTTCTTGTTTTTTGTTTTTATTAAAATTGTTTTTAAATGGTCATGGTCAGTACAGTTATGAACAGGATTTGTATGATCACCTATTTTTTCGTAAAACTTTAGGTAGATATCACTTTATAATTGCAAAGTTTTTTTTTAATTGCAGATGTTAATTTTAAAGTACATACACTAATTTAGTTTGCTATATGATGGTCTAATGGATATTACATAAGCATTCTTTTGTCATAATTTGTAAATGTATATGTCAGAGTTCTTTAAATGTCCTTAACTAAGAATTTTATCCACTTAAATATGTTTACAACTTGTGTAAAGCAAAAATGAATGTAATTATAGTGAGCAGTGTAGTTTTGCTCCTATTCTTTGATGTTTGCCAAAAGAAGAATAAAAACTGAATGAATTCAATCAACCTTGGCTGTTCATTTTGTCATTCTTTAACAATTGTAAAATTTTGAAATAAACTCAGCTTTAGAATTTTTCCAACTTTAGAATTTTAGCTGTAGAATATTTCCAACTCTTTACATATAACAGAATAAGGTCCTTGCATGTTCTTGCATTTCATGGAGTTGGGTGAAATATAGTATGAACATGGCATTATGCCCCAGTCGGGAACATAATAAAGTAATAGCCAGTTAAGTTATGGCTCATAGAAAACAAGTAGAAGCTTAGAACCTTTTAGAAATAATGAGTTTATTTAGGATAAATAAATTTTAAGATTAAAGATTTATGAGTGTTTTTTTAAGAAAACATTTGTATGCAAGGATGTGTAGTAGTAAAGTTTATGCAAATTGATGTCAGCATATAGTTAGTACAGTTTTCTTTTTGGTACAGGTTGTCATGGTGTAGCTGGAGGAGCAGGTCAGTTGATTTTCTGAGAATTTAGTTAATTTCATTCTTTCAACTCATGGAGTTTCCAACTCTTTTTTTTTTTTTTTTTTTTTGAGACAGGGTCTCATTACATAGTCCAGGCTGTCTTACTATGTAGCCCAGGATGGCCTTGAACTCAGTACCCCTGTCTCAGCCTCCTGACTGCTGGGATTACAAGTGTGCACTGCTATGCCTGGCTTATAGTTGTCATAACCAAGGTGACCAATATGAGTTACTGAATACTGTATAAATCACTGCCTGTCAAGCTGCTGAATTGATCCATTTTCTGAACAAAGATGACTGTGAATATATCCTGCTGCTTCATTTCTATGTTACACTTATTCATAATTTCGGCTAATACGGTATCAACATGGGGATTTAAAAGAACTGCAGTGCATGAGTTTGATAAGGAAAAATAATGACCTCATTTTTAAAAGTTGCTGATTTTGAATCTGGCATTCTGCACCCTACACCCCATGATCCCTGCCTGAAATTGGAAAGGCTTTATACACCTAGACTTGAGTTTCTCAAGCCTGGCCCTGTTGATGTTTTGAGCTGGATAATTTTTTTGTTTGGGGTTCTTCTGTGCATCTGATATTCAGCAGTGTCCTTGGCCTCTAGTCACTAAATACCCATAGTACCCCCTCTAAAGTTGTAAGAACAAAACATATTCATTGGAGGCAAATAGGTCTCAGTTGTTGCTAATGAGGTTGCAAAGTTCTAAGGAAAACCATTTAGAACAGAAATTGGGCATACTATTAGATAGTTATTCATCTGCTCTTCATGACTTTGCCAGACTTTTCATGAGCATCTTTTGAAAAGCTGCATAGGTCTTAACTATTTTTATATTCTTACCCACTGCAGAGTGTTTATTTGGCTTGTGAGATCACTGGTGGTAGTATTCAGGATAGAAAACATTATACTCTAGCAGCAATTTACAAATCTTTGGGTCTTGGCACCAGTAGAAGTATTGTCTGTTCTGCAGAGTGTAAGCTGACTAGGGTTCTACTCTCTTTCTATGCTCTGGGACCCAAGCCTTGAGTTGTTGCACTCCAGAACTGCTTAGAAGAGAGCATTCAGAAGGCTCTCACTTCAAGTAAATTCTGTGGCTTAGAAGAAACACTTTACATTTTCATTCATTGGCTGAATTAATCCCATGGCTTCACACACATTGGAGAGACCCAGAAGAGCAGCCCTGTCCTTGTGTTCTGAAGGAGGGAGTGGAAATATTTGTGAACATTATTAAGTATGGTCACATACACTAGCGATAGTAGCATTTGGGACCAGAGCTTTATATCTTGGCCCTGGCACTTCCTAACTAATATTTCAGGGCTTTAGTTTACTTGTTATAAAGTAGCAATAATGATGTTTCTCTGCTGTGAGAATTACAAAGAGAAATAGGGAAGTTTAGGTAATATTATTTTAGCATGTTTAGATCATTGGTGAGAGAATAATGGTTATTTTGTGGATAGTTTTGGTGTTGGGTTTTTGTTTTCTGTATGTCTTTGGAAATGGAGGCAGAATCAGTAGGACATCACACTCAGAACTAAAAGAGGTACTGTTCAGGCGAGCAGGGTCTTGAGATGCTTGAAAGACTGTTGGCCTTGGTCTTGGTAGTTAGCACGTAGGAACTGTGAACAACTTGGGGGACACTGTGAGATCACAAAGTATCTGATATAATTTAAAAATTCTCATTTATTCCTAATATCCCCACGTTTGACATATTCTGTGTAGAATTTAGCTGGCAAGATTCTTGATGTAGTTTGTCAGGTTTGTTAATGACACTGTTAAATGAGTTCTTAAACTGTAGCTATCTGAGTAAATTAGCATGAATTAGGAAAACACCTTTCCTAAACTCACAAAGAATATTCAAGTGCTTTTTAAAAAGCACTTGTATATATTTTATCTATTTACAAAGCTTGTGGAAGGATGACACCATTTGCACATGGAGCTTGTCTTGGTTGCTTTTCTCATTGCTAAGATGAAATAACTGACAGTGTTAAAGGAGGAAAGGCTTATTTCGGCTCAGATTGTAGAGATTTCAGCCTATATTTAGCTGGCTCCAAGGCAGGTTTGCATAGCAGAGGGACATGACAGAGGAGAAACAGTCCATGGCAAAGCAGGGCAGGCAGAAGGCAGCAAGCAGCAAGTGACAAGAAGCAACCACAGCAGCTCTCTTTCTGTCTCTTATGTTCTATACAGGCTACCTGCCCTTAGAGCAGGAAGCACTTACACCCCGGATGGGGCC